CAAGCATTCACAAATCTTAATAATACTAGTCGGTGACTCGTGCGTTGCACGAGTTTTGTATTTATTGTGTTTTTGTTAGCGTCGAAATGAAAGTAAGATTAATTCAGTCCATCATAACTGATCTCTGACAATTGCTCATGAAGATTAATTCCTATAGCCTATTTATTTGCAAGAAACATGGCTGTGCAAGAAATTTATGTATTTTTTTTTCTTGAACCATTTCTTTGTTTGCATTTCGCTGTGTAGGAGTTGAGTATCTCACATACCTTCAAAGCATCTTCAATGGTAGAAATATTTACGTTACGAAACTGCAATGGGCGCCGATGATTGGAATGCAGTTTTGTAATCTGTAAACATAAACTAAAATGTGACTTTAGACCTCAAAATTAGCTAATTGTCTAGTCCAAATGGAAATTCGTGGATACAAGAAAACAGAAAAAAAAATTGCACAAAAGCCAAAGTCACAGCTCACCTCTTTCACGCTCAAGAGCCCGACCTTGGAAGTAATGTTCCCAGATAATCGCTGCAAATCCCTGCCTGAAACGGGTAAGAATCAACTCTCTACGCCAAGTCATCAACAATTTCAGAGGCAATCACTTCAAACAATGATATGAAAGAATGTGTGGAAAGCTTCCCGTACTTTTGGATGTCAAAGGGAACAAAAGGTCTATTTTTCAGTAAACAAAATTCTACTTCAAAAAAAAAAACACAACACATATGAGATATAACAATTCACTCAGTTATAGAACAATCACAGAAGGAAGGTTCCATTCATAAGTAATACTTCAGTCTAGTTTGGATAAGGATTAGTAAGCATCTCTGCATGTGCAAGAGAGGAGAGTACAAGGATCACAATTCACACAGAATATTAATGAAACTACTGTCCACAATTTTATTGCATATGCATTAGAAATGAATAATTTTAATACTACGTAAATATGTTAAAAAAGAAGAAACTATGTACTTATTTATGCTCAGTTTTATGAGAATAAAACTACTAATTTGAACAAGACTTCCATGCATTTTCCAAATTATTATACATGCAAGATGACTTTGAGAAAGTCTCATATTTATGCAAGAGTCACTATTGATTTTAAGGAGTAGGGAATGGAAGAGGGAAAAGAATAAACACAACCAGAGGTTTGAGAATAATGGAAATATGAGGATATAATTTAAAGTGAAAACTTCTAAGAGAATGTCCCACGATCAAAACTGTGAAAATGGAAAACAAAAAGCTTCATGAAATAACATAAATGCACAAGGCATAGCAGAATCGTTGTAAGGAATTGTACAAAAGTCATTCACTTAACATCCTCAGAAGAATGGGTTAATGAAGAACAAAGCTTCTGGAGACTATCCAACTTCAGAGCTTCCATAATAAAACTGCAAACAACATACTATTTTTTAGTGAACAAATTTTTTTACTTTTCTTAGTCCTGCTATGAGTAATAAAAAGAAAGAATTAATTTTTGTCGATAGATAAAATGGAGAAATATGAACGAAGGAACTTATTCATTCTGAATTAACATTTTCTCCCCCATTCCGTTCAGTTCATTGCCAGATCTAGCACAAAGGAAAAAGGACAAACCAAAAATACCAACCTTAACATTCCCAGCTTCTTCAACTCTTCATCTTATCATCAAACCTTTTTCTGAAATCTCAATCAAGATACAAGGAAACGAATAAAATAAATCAGCAACAAATAAATAAATAAATAAAACACCGACCCGATTCAATTAGGCAAACCCGGTTCGAACGCGCGGAGGCACTCTCCGCAGCGGAGAATGCCAGCCTCCGCGTGCGGAGGTTGGAGACACAAGTCTCCGCTGTGCGGAGGCTTGAGCGGATGCACGAGACTCATGCCTCCGCGAGTTAGATTTTTTTCTTTTTTTATTTAAAAAAAATAGCAAATAATACTGGTGGAATCCTACAAAACATCACCCAATAAACAAAAGAGAAATGCTGCAACAGTAATAATGAAGAAAAATGACCAAACAATAAACCAGAGAATGGCGAGAGAAATTAAATAAAATAGAAAAGAGAGAAGAGAAAGGATAAATCTAGGGTTGTGTCTTGTATGGGAAAAGACATGGTGATTGTGTGTGAAATGCAGTGAAAATGCAGTGGAAGAGAAAGAAAATGTCAGAGAGAGAGGAACAAAATCAGGGGAAAAAGGAAAAGGTATGGGGAAGACTACTCCAAGAAAAGAAACCATAGCCGAGAGAAGGGGGTCTTAGCATGTGTTAGAACTTGTCACCATGGCTTCTAAATTGGAGGGTTTGGTTT